GGGCGGGGGCGGTGCAGACTCGGGGCGCGGAGGTAACACCCGAGAACTTCGCGGGGACCGGGCGCGCGGGGTTTTCCGCGGCCCTCCCCGCGGCCCCCGCAGTGGGGCGGTGCTGGAGGGTGCTTGGGGTTATCCCAGGCTCCCGCTGCCTGCCCGGGGACCCCCCACGCCTGCCTCCCTCCACCCTCCTTCACACCCCCGGAGGTCCCGGCACCCCCTTCCCAGTCTTCACCCCTTAGGTTAAAGATGGGTGGGAGGCTTTGCGTGGGCGGAGCGCTTCGGGGTTTTGGGGCTCCCCCAGTCTGGGTCGTGCCTCCTGCCCTCTTCCTTGCCCTGAGCAGGCTGAGGTGTCCCTGTGGTGGCGAAAGTCGGTAGGATAGCTAGCTGGTGGCCTTCGCCCTTCATCCTTTGGGTTTGTTTTAAGGTAAATTACTGAGAGTTTGGAAAGCAAAAATTTGTTGTTGTATTTCATTTGGGTTTTCTCTGAAGAAGGAAGTGGAAGAGTATCTTTTCTTTTTCTCTCTTCCTCCATTTGCAGTCTTTGTGAGAGGGCTGTCTGCCTTGTGCTTTTTGTCCCGGATTAATCTTGTTCAAGGATGGAGATTCCCAGGCATGGAGTCTTAAGCTTTTGCTTTCCTTTAAGCAAATTCATTAAACCTTTTAAAGGGAAAGTTAATTTTTACCTAAAGTCATTCCAGAAAAATAGGATACATTGGCTAGACGAATTAATGCTCTTGAGATTGTAGCTTAGTTACATGTGGTGGCTATTTTTTGCGGGGGGGTGGCGAAACCAAACTCCCTTTTTTAAAATTAGAAAATGAAGTAGAGTAATGGATTATTTTTTAGTTTAAATGGCACAACAGAAATCTTGTACTAAATTTTAAGGTGCTGTGTTTAAGGTTGTGAATTTGAGTAGCCTTCCTCCTTTTGAGGGATGTTTTTCTCTTGTTTACCCACCTTGTGAATGGCTTTCCTATTTAAATGAAGGTTCTTGTGGTTAACTGGTGCTAGTTTTAAAGAAATCACTCAAGTGTCACCTTTGGTAAAGTGAACTCAGTTTAAGATTAAGAAATTGGTTTCAAACTGACCCTTTGGCCTCTGGAACAAATTCAAATGTAACTCCCCCATCCCCCTTCTCTTCCAGATTCATTAAAAGAAGAATGAACCATAATCCTTGAAGATAACTGAGCATTTTTCCTTCAGTATCATTTTTGATAATAGAAATTCAAGTGGCATCAGAGGTGCTTCTTATCGGTGTAGAGATTTGTACCAGTCTTCATTTTGTCAACAGAGATCAACAGACCACTTTTAGAGGATATTTGAACCCCCTTCCTTAACTGTCCTTGATGGCAGAAATTTAGTTTGGTTGTGTCATTTTGACTTGTGTTTGAGTCTAGGTTTTATGGCACAGTAATGGCATGAACTTTTAACACGTGCTTTATTTTAGAAAAGCAAAACAACCATACCAAACCATTGCATTGAATTTGGACACCTTGAATTGAGAACTTGATAGCTTTGTTTTACGTATACCTGAAGAACTCAAGAACACAAAAGCTTCCTTAGAAGTGTGCCTCTGAAGATTATATTCTTAGTTACTAGAAGCAAAACGAGAAATTTTATAGCATTTGAAGGAAATTATACTAAGATGTAAGGGCCAAAGCAAAGTTGCAAAATCTGTTGTTTATCTTTGGAGATTAAAATTTTCTATGAGTAAGTTATAAGTGTTTGTATACATTATTCTCTCTTCAAAGAAGCAACTAAGTAAAAATGCAAATATCAGACTTAATTTTTTAAATAGTGTAGCAATGGAGAACCTTCAGACAAATTTCTCCTTGGCTCAGGGCTCAAATAAAAAACTGAATGTGATGGGAGATGATGGTAGCCCACCAGTGAAAAAAATGATGACAGATATTCATACAAACGGAAAAACGATTAATAAGGTGCCGACGGTAAAGAAGGAACATCTGGATGATTATGGAGACACACCGATGGAAACTGATGGAGAACATGTCAAGCGAACATGTACTTCCCTGCCTGAACATTTAAATTTAAATCCCAGTTTGAAACACACATTGGCACAATTCCATTTAAGTAGTCAGAGCTCTCTGGGTGGACCAGCAGCATTTTCCGCTCGGTATTCCCAGGAAAGCATGTCACCCACTGTATTTCTGCCTCTTCCGTCTCCTCAGGTTCTTCCTGGCCCGCTCCTTATCCCTTCTGATAGCTCCACAGAGCTCACCCAGACTGTTTTGGAAGGGGAGTCTGTTTCTTGTTTTCAAGTTGGAGGAGAAAAGAGACTCTGTTTGCCTCAAGTCTTAAATTCTGTTCTCCGAGAATTTTCACTTCAGCAGATAAATACAGTGTGTGATGAATTATATATATATTGTTCAAGGTGTACGTCAGACCAGCTTCATATCTTGAAGGTCCTGGGAATACTTCCATTCAATGCTCCATCCTGTGGGCTGATCACATTAACTGATGCACAAAGACTGTGTAATGCTTTATTGCGGCCACGAACTTTCCTGCAAAATGGTAGCATACTTCCTGCTAAAAACTCTTTGGCCCAATTAAAGGAAACTGGCAGTGCCTTTGAAGTGGAACATGAATGCTTGGGCAAATGTCAGGGTCTGTTTGCACCTCAGTTTTATGTGCAGCCTGATGCTCCATGTATTCAGTGTCTGGAGTGCTGTGGAATGTTTGCACCCCAGACATTTGTGATGCATTCTCACAGATCACCTGACAAAAGAACTTGCCACTGGGGCTTTGAATCAGCCAAATGGCATTGTTATCTTCACGTGAACCAAAAATACTTAGGGACACCTGAAGAAAAGAAACTGAAGATAATTTTAGAGGAAATGAAGGAAAAATTTAATATGAGAAATGGAAAGAGAACTCATTCCAAGGCAAGTTTTTTTTAAGTAGCAATTTTGAATGATAGTGATTTACTTTGAAATCAAAATTCTGTATTTAGCATATGACTTGGTGTGTTTTTAAGAAAACTATTTACCAACAAAAAGCACACTGTTCAAAGTCGTGTTTGCATTGGAATTTTAGTGTTTTCCTTCATTTGACTGTCCAAACAATGTATGAGAGAAGGATAATTCCCATTTTACAGATAAAGCAAATGAGTTCTGGGAAGGTAAATGGCTTTCCCAAAATTATATAGCCAAAGTTAGAGGAGCTTGGGCCTTGTTTTGATCTTTTGTCTTTTTCACACATTCTACATCTTGTTGACTAAATCTGTTGTTTTCCTAGGACTCAAAATAATTTATACTTTGGTGTTATGGTGTTATCTCATTGGCAAATGATACAACTAGCCTAAACCATGTGGGGTTTTAAGACAGCATTTTTTAAGGGTACATCTATGACTTTTCATATTTCTATACTTGGATATTTAGGTTTGCTTAGTGTGGCAAACAAGTAGAAAAGATGTTTGAAGAATTTGTGATTCTAGAAACAAAAAGGGTTTTTTTGGAAAATATTCTAAAAAATTATGACAGCTAGAATGAAATTTATCTTTTTTTTTTGGTTTTTCTTCGGTACTGGGAACCGAACTCACGGCCTTGCGCTTGCCAGGCAGGCACTTTGCCGCTGAGCTAAATCCCCAGCCCCTTAGAATGAAATTTAGATTAGTAAAATATTAATATAACAACCTATCAGTAAAGAGATCTTAAACTTACCATTTTTCCCACTGAATTTCTTGTTAGGCTAAGCTAATATCTTGTGTCTAATTAAGATTTTGAATGGGTGATAGATGAGATTTGAATTTTTAAATAATCAGTTTGAACTGGTTATGTTAAATGTTTTCTCACTTGATTTAATTCATATATAATATCAATAGATAATAAGTATTAAAAGTGTGTCAAGCATTGCTTTTGAGAAGTTTTACATTATTTTTACAACAAAAAGTTGGCCATGTTTTAATAACTTTGAAATTTTTCCACTACTCTTTTAATTTCTTGAAATAGCTGTGTCCTGTATCACAGAAGAAATGAATGATACGTATTAAATGACCTACTGATTGTTCCCAGCAGAGTTAGTTAGGGCCTGGATTGGAATTTAAGATTAGATGTTCTGGGCTTTAGATATCGTGGTGCTTCCAAGGTTTTGAGGGAAATACAGTCAAGTGTAGTTTTAGGACAGAGGTTTGCTTCTGAAGCTCAATGAAGAAGAGACGTTTAGGCTCTCATTTAAGGTAATTTGCTGCTTGCTGCTCTCCAGAAGTTTCTTACATTCTTTGTGAGTGGCAACTAGGTTTACATTCTTCAGCTTCACTTATTAATTTGTTTTAAAACAATTAAAATTTCAAGCCAGCACTCAAAAAATGTAAAACTAGGCTTACAGTTGTATTTGTGCAGGCTTGACTTTTGTGCTCAAGAGGTGATCTGTATTACCACAACGTGGAATACCCCTTTTGATACTTAGAATATCTTGGCCCCAAGCTAATTAGAGGCCTGAGGCTTCCGTGTGGGTAGGTAGCCACATTATTTGCCAGATATGACTCTTGACATAAGCATTTTTGGGATAAACTACTTTGTCTGTGTTCCCCATCCTGTGTAGGGAGAAAAAAATCCAAAAACACAGTGGTGGAGAGGGTTGCCTAACTGAAAATGGATGTTCTCAGGTTTAGCTAAAATTGAAACCATTCTTCATCTGGGCTGTAGTCTCTTACTGTTCTAGAATTTATTAATTTCAATGCACTTTTGGGTTAGGGAAGGTATGAGTTTTTTTTTCCCCCTTTATCTCTGTTGTGCTTTAAATTTTTTTTTTTTCAGTATTTGCATTAGTTTTATGGTGGTATGTTTTGATATAGCTTCCAATTTTATGTGACTTGAAGAGAATTTAAGAAAATTTCCAACAATTTAACCTTTAAGAAAATACCTTTTTGGTTCATATTGTATACATGCTTGAGGTTGTTTTTCTTTGTGCTTTCCATAGCAGGTTTTAAAAATTACTCCTCAAAACTCTGTGAGGAACTGAAAAAAACAAAAAAACCCACTGTGAGGTAGCCCCTTCCCTATGCAGTACTGGGGATTTAGCCGATGGCCTTTGTGCAGAGCTGCATACATTCCCAGCAATTTATTTGTGTATTTTTAAAATTTGAGACAGTATCTAAGCTGCTAACTTGCCCAGGCTGGGCTTTGACTTGGGCATCCACCTGCCTCAGCCTCCCAGAGTGCTAGAGTTATAGGAGTGTGCAGCCGAGATCATAGTTAGGTAGATTTCCTGCTGTCAAATGAAAAATTAGTCCCAGATGGGTAACATGTTCCTGGTTGTATAAATGATAGAATGTGAATTGGGAGTTGAATGTGGGGCTTCTAACTTGAAGTCTAGTAATTTTCCATACTTTGTCTAGAAGCAGAAACAATTCTGTATAAACCTGCATATATAATATGTACTCATATAATTATATATTGTATATAATATGTATATTAAGGTATTTAACTGGGAAAGGGAAACAGACGTAGTCCTTGGTTGGGAAGCATTTTTCGTTATCATCGATGAGTCAGTGAGTTTGCAAAACAAACCAAATTGACCAGAGGAAGGTCATTTTAAAAAGTCAGACCAGGCTTTCTTTTCCTTTTTTTAAAAAAAAGACTATGCTAAGTCTGTTAGGTAAAAGACCTTATGGTTAGTGTAAGTGTAATTTAATAAGCTTATATAGTCAAAGTATTACTTTTGAATTCAAAAATCCCTGAAACTCAATAGGCAATTGTTTGAAATGTAGCAACTTAATTATTTTAAAGGATGGAAATTATATTAATGACCAATAAACTACTTATTTGTATAGCTAGTAGCTATATTAATTTGGTTAGTTAAGTGCTATATTCAGATGGGAGAAATGAGTTGTACAAGTTCAGTGTTCTGAATGAAGAACTGAATTTATTCTTTGTGGAAATGAAAGTTATATTTTGAACTCTTTCTTACTCAGGTCATAAGAAAGATACTTGGTATCAGACCTCCTGTGCAGTATGGTATTATCAGATTATCCTATATGAGCATTTTGTGTTTTTTAATTAGAAAAATGGTTATTTTATTTTATAGGGTACAAATATATGCAAAAATACCATATTTTTGTTTCTTTCTCAAGTCTTAAGTGGTTATTCTGTCAATTTAGAGTTAGATCAAATTTCTATCTGTGGGAGACCATTGCTAAGCAAATTAGTCATTTATGAATAAAATTTGAAGGGTAGTTTTACTTAAGATTATTTTCAAGCACATTAGAAGAGGCCATTTATAGTAAGTTGATAACAAAATTATAGGTGATTCTTCACTGTGACAATATGGCTGACCATCTCTTTATTTAAAGTTCATGGATGGTATATGCCATCAAAATTAGATTCCTAAAATTCAGACTGGACTCTTCATAGGTAAATAAACAACTATACTTTTCATACAAGATTTAGGGTATACTCTGTACTTTATAGATATCCTACAGATAGTTTAAAATTTTTCCCCTGGTTGAGGGTGTAGCTTAGTGATAGAGCACATGCTTAGCATACATGTGCTCCAGTCCCTGGGTGCAGTCTCTAGGACACAAAACAAACTAAAAAAATTTTCCCTTGAAAGCCTATTGGCCCTTCATTACCTTTAGTTTTGAATTTTCTTTTCACTTAATCTCTGTACAGGTCATTGGAATAATAACAGTACAAAGAAGTCTTTCCTTTTGCAAACCGTTGTACATTTCAGAAATGTGCTTCAGTATTAACCTGAAGGAGACTAGAGAGAACGGACAACTACAAAGAGTAGTTATGGAAAAATGTGTTCTAATACTAATTGTGGATTTCATAGTAGCTTGTTACCTCTAGGGTAGTTTGTATTTCGTGATTAGCAAAAATTTTGATCACAGCATAAAATCATTCAGAGTAAGTATCTACAAATATGAGGCACCACTGTCAATGTTGTCTAACTTTGTGGAATTAATAACTGTTTCCCTAAGTTTAGAGACTGATCCTCTGCTCCCTTAGAGCCTAGCATGTCAAAGGCACTCAATGAAATCTTTTTTCTTTCTTTATTTTTTTGGTCTTTTTGAGACAGGGTCTCCCTGCACAGTTTAGGCTGGCCTTGAGCTCACTTTGTAGCCTAGGCTGGTCTCAAACTCCCAATGATCTTTCTGCCTCAGCCCACACCCCCCGCCTCCCTCCCCCCACCAGTACTGGGATTACAGGTGTGCACCACCATGTTTTTAAAAAATTTTATCTTTTTAAAGTATTTTTTTTTTTTTTACAACTCTTAATGGTGTTTTAGAGTATTTTGAGCTTTTTTAAAAAAAATAGTCAAGAGCCTTTAAATACATAGTTTATACATAAATTGTTACTGTAACTCATCGAATCAGAGAATGAATGGGAAGCATGTTGGAAGTTACCAGTTTTTATTCTAGAAATGTAGGATTGTATTTCAGATCACTATTGAAAATTCTATTAATATGTATTTGGGGATTCTTTCTCCAGACATTTTCTTAATTTACCTACAATTATGTGAAGATATTCCTAAACTAAGTGAGAACTGAATATTGGATTCAGATGTATCTAAGGTCTAGTTGTTAGCATACAATTTGCTAGTTGGATATTGTTTACTTAAAGTATGCAAGAAAAAAGCATGAAGCAGATTTATTGTAAAAAGAAACATTTCTGAATCATTTTGTTTTATTTAGCCTTACTATCCAAAAAGACATGTTGATTTGTTCTGTTGGCAGTAATTTCCATTTCCATGTTTGAGACCACTTTTGAGATTTTGAATGGTACAGATCAATACAGACATACTTGGATTAGAGTTTATTTAGAGTACTTTATAAAGATACTCAAAGAGTTTAGAATAATTAAGGTTTTGGAAATTACTCTGTTAATAGCAGGATTTGTAGTCCCTGCTTGTCCCTGGTATTTTATTGGAAATTTTTAGGATT